AACAAACTCAAAATTCAAATTTCTTTCTCCATCAACAACACGCAATGACATATGGAATGGGGCTGGGCTGGGAACACGAAGCCTATTGTGGATTAACTTGCAAATATAGAGAGCTTACATGGATCCCATAAGTGTCAAAAAGACCCCGCAGTATACTTGTTTCTTCATCTAACTCCCCGTTGTTGTTATCATCTCTCACTTTTTCCTTGGGATATGAGTTGTTATCCTCGCCAATCTTGGAATCATCATTCTTTTTTGTCTATGTTGTAAAAGTTGGTCTATCTTGATTATATGGAGCCCATGTTCATAGAAGAACCTTTCTTTGATACAACATGAACCTATTAATCTTGTTGAGACATTTCAGAATCTGGAAAAGTGAGATGAGGTATGAACGATACAAAAGTGATGAAATTATTGTTGGTCAAAATATTGATTTTGTGAATCTCGAATCAGCCATTGCAATTGAATTAGAGATTGATACAATCGACAAAAAGGTTGAAGAGATGCATAGCTTTGATGGATCATCCATACCTTTTATAATGTTGTGCAATCGTTTTTTGAATTATGTTTTCGAGATGGATAGATTTATCAATACATTATTATTTATGTATCTTGTTTAAATTGATAAGTATTGTATTTCTACTAGATACATTAAATAAGTAATTATTGCCCATAAGATGTTAGGTTTGAGATCGATATATTACTTTGTGGTAGTTGTTATGTATTGATACATTTAGTATAAATTTGAATTTACGTATTATACCTAAAAAAATTAGTGCATCATACATTACTATTTATGTATCTTATTTTGTTTGAAAATGCTATATTTTATAAAAAGATTCATTATATATGTAATTGTTCCTAACAACATTTTTTTGTGTGATACAAAACACAGTGGTGAGTTTGATATGTATATGATACATGCAATAAAGTTTGAAACTATTGAATTTAATATAAATTAATTTGATATACAATGTTTTAGCTATAGAACACTAGGATTTATGTGTCAAGTATATTTATAGGGTAATGTGTACAAACACATAACCTTCTAATTTGAATAAGTCTGAACAAAAATTAAAGACTACAAATACATAATAACAACTGATACATGGTAGATTATACAATTGTAATAATTATGTATCAGATAAATAATTAAAGGCATGAGACAAAGAGTTTGAAAACGAGAACTCCTTTCCTTATTTGGTGTACCTACTTGAGCCGGATGAAAGAAAACTTTCACATCCGATTTTGAAGGGGGGGAGATCCTATAGGAACCTATATGTATCAGAAAAAGATTAACAACAAAAAATCAAAAAAATAAACAAATGAAATCAACCAGTTACTCTATAAATGTTGTGTCATATACATAACTATGAATAAGTTTGGGTGTATGCATTTTGTAGTAATAGATAACGAATTTTGTAATAGTTATGTATCAAATACATAACCATGAACATGATACATACTAATGTGTGTTTCAATATATTAAGGTTATGTATCGAAACTAATATTTGAACACGATACATTGTCATGAAGAATTGTAATGTATCATAATGTTGAAACGAAGGCATTATACATTAATTTAAGAAACAAAAACAACTAGATACATTAAAAATCTAAACCCATATATATCAGAAAAAGGTAAACAAGAAAAAGTAAAAAAAAATCAACAATCTGATTTATTTCGACTTCTCCTTCTCAACATTCACTTTGGAAGACGAAGTTACATCCATTTTTTCCTACATTTACTTTAGAAGACGAAGGTACATCCTTCTTCTCCTTCTCCTTCTCAACATTCACTCTTGTATCTTTTTTTTTACTGTTAACAATGGCGTCACCCATGGATCTCGATCCAAAGTCCTTACCAGAGCCATCAACAGATCAATTTTTTTCCGCCTTTTTGAGTGTTTTGTCCACTGTCTAATTAGAAGTAGAAGATACATCCTTCTCCAACTAATTGGGTAAGCCTAATATTGAAAGCTAGACCCTCCATCCATATGTATTAGCGATTTTTGAAGATGAAAAACTAAAAAAAATAATTGAAAACTGAAATGATGGAAAGAGATCTACCTTTTGTATAACTTGAAATCCTTAATTGGAAAGAGAAAAAAAATTGAAATTCAAAAATGGATTAATGGGGTAACTGTTGAGAGATTTGTGGCGTGAAAAAAGAAGCGAAAAATCATGGGATGAGTATCGATAGTGATGTATCCGGAAAAGTGAGAGAAATTGAGGAAAGGAGATATTTATGTAATTTATTGAAACGGTAGAGATTTTAAGAAAATAGGGTAAAAAAGATGTGTAGTTAGGTAATTTTTACTAAATTTAATGCTTTGAGAAATATGAAAGGTGATAAATAACATTTAATAGCAAGGGTAAAATAGACACAAAAGATAAATTATCTGCTGATTTTCTAAATTGGACAAGTATTGTTGGACGGAGGGAGTACAAATTAAGAAAAGACAATATATTTTTACCTATTATATCCTCAATTTATTATAGAGTTAATGTTTTTGAAAAAACATAGAACCTTAAATTGATTTTGAAATTCTATCAATTAATAGGGGTAAAGTGGTAACTCACTATATCAATTATTATTTTCTTAATAGATGTGTCAAGTCAAAATTAGACAAGTAAATCAAAACTAAGAGAGTATTACCTATTAATATTATCTTCTTGTATATATTTCCACGTATCGTGAATAATCTCAAAATAACTTAATTCACGGATAACAACCCCAAGGGCACTAAATGTATTTTGTCTATTGTATCCTTAATAGACAATTAATTACTTGTAGTTATTTATTATTATAGAAAATAAACTATTGGCCTCACAAACTATACCACCTTATGCAGTGGCGGAGCCAGAAATTTCACGAAGGGTGTCCAAGTGCTAAAGTGAACCTACTCTTCTTAAAAAGTGATTTTTTTGTAACTAGTGAGATTCGAACACATAAACACTTTAAGTTTGTGAGTCTTTACACTTTCAAAACACCTGAAACCACTAGGCTACATCATATTGTTGTGTCAAGAGTGTCCAAAATATGTTATGTAGTCACTTTATCATTTTACTTGTATATAGGTATAATTTTTCGACGAATGATGTCCAATTGGACACCCTGACATAAGGGTTACGCCACTGACCTTATGTTGAGAAGCTGAAACCTAACCTTCTCTGATTTGTTCTTCAACGTCTTTTTCTTTTGGTCAACTAATAACGTCCAATTAATTTTCAAACTGTATACTATTAGGCCAAGCACATAACTATCTAGTACGACTTTTTATTTTGGTGCATGCATGTATAATGAGTCAAAAGATTTATTTATTTATTTTTATCCTAGGAGCTTCCAACTCACAACTTTCGAGTCGAAAGTGAGGGCACCTTTTGCTCTCTTAGTGACTCGAACTCACAACTTTTGGGTTTGAAGTGTGGATTGCCTGTCATCCGAGCAACTCCCTAAAAGCACAGATCAAAACTAACACTTCACTCATAAATGGGCGAACTGTCCATCCCTAACGTTAATTCCGTCTATTTCACTAGGAACTACAATTCTTTTTATTAACTATCTCTTCTAAATTTTAAGTGTATCGTGAAGTCTATTTGATAGATAGAATCTTGAATTTCTTCAATAAAAGTATAAAAAATAAAATTGTAATTTTTTTTTCATGAAATGAATTTTATTATTTATTTGCTTACAATCAATAGTAAAAAAAAAAAAACAAATAAATAAATAGTGAAAAAACTACCGATTTTCCTACCCAAACTACATCTTTGTGCCATGCCACTTGGAGCAATGGCCATTACATTTCTACGACACCTAGTATTATTGGCTCTAAAAGTTCTCGGATATTGCGTATTTACAATTAATTGAATAGAAAAAGTGGCCACGCATCGCCCGAAGAAAAAAATAAAATGCCATAAGTTTGCTGGTAATTCTTTGAACTGCAATACTTTCTGGGAGTAATTTCCCTAGATAGTCACCCATATTTGATAAATTACCTAGGAATATTACTTATGTTTGTTTTAGGACTATAATATTACCCAACTTTGCCTATTTTTCTCAAAATATATTGACACAAAAAATACATTATCTCTCTCCTGTTAGGATGCTATGTCACATTATTCTTTTTTTATTATTATTAACAATTTTTAAAAAAAAATACATTATCTCTCTCCAATTTATTGAAATGAATCAGTGATTACCTGCAAATGGAAGTTCTCCGTAGGACAAACAATTCCACCACCTTTAGAATCACCCACACATGAAATAGGAAACATCACAAGCAATTTTCGTCCGTTACAATGGCAGTAACACCAAATGAAAACCTATGCACAGATGAGTAGTTGTAATCAAGAACATACCTTGCAATCACCACTAGAACTTCTGAATACCAAAAGGCCCAAGGCAGGATAATATTATGTAGTGCAGTTCACAGAATATATAGAGATGAGGATAAGTTGTTTTTTTCATATGGGATGTGGCGGGAAGGGGGCAAGGGAAGCACTACCATTTTCTCCATCCTCCACCTTCTGTAAGCTAGAAGAGAATCAGAAAAGCTTGATGGTCATAGTTTCAACAACAACAACAACAAACCCCCACATGTGGTGTCTGGAGAGGATAGAATGTATGTAGGTTTTATCCCTACCTCGTAAAGATAGAGAGCATGTTCCTGGTAGACCCTCAGTTCAAAAAAAAGCATAACAAAGTAGCTACTATAGAAAACATGTCAAAGGAAAAAAAAACTACAATAAAATAGTGTGATAATCGAAGTATAAGAGACAATAGAAAGTAGCATCCATATATCAAAAGACAAGAAACTAAATGAGAGATACTATGAGTCTATGACTACTTGTATGGAAAGGATAAGCCAGCAATGCTGAAGTACCTACTATCATTCTACACTAATCTATGTCCTCCATAACCTTATATCTAAGGTCATGTCCTGTTTAATCACGTCTAGCCAGTACTTTGATGGCAAGAGACAAAAAGACCTCCCTGATACAATACTGAATACCAATGTATTATATTCTGATCACGGATCTCAGTTCGCAAAGAGAAGTTATCAAACCTTATAGAGTATGCAATTCTTCATATCTTACATAACTTTTACCTTCTAGAGGATAAAGTTAAAGTTATAATAAGTACCAAGCAAGGATGGTTAACCATCACTAGGCAACACATTCAAGGGGCACCAAACTTTATACCTCAAATCCTATTTGGATTACCCTTATTAACTATATCACATAGATAGCAAAATCATCCAGAGGTCTGTAGTTTTGATGCAGCATCCTTGTCTAAAAACCAGGTCAGTTCCTCTTCAGCTGACACCTCAGTACAAGGGGGAGGAATCCCATCAGGAGGAGGTGCATTACCCAGAGCGACATCAACCATATTAGCTAACTCTGCTCCTGTGACCACCATTGCTATCTCTGAAGCCGAATTAATTACCGGAAATGTGAAAGTAATCCTTGGTGGAGGAGGTTTTGGTGAGTCTGTAATGAAGGTGACCAGCCGCTCCTTCTCATGGCGGTGAGGACGCAAAGGAAACAAAGACGCTACATGTCCATCTGGCCCCATACCTAATAGCATAAGATCAAATTTGGGGAATCCACTAATAGCTGACAAGGGCAGAACTTTGCTTTCAACCAATTTTTTCAGACGAGCCTCATAATCAGCTGCTGCACCCTCAGGTGACTCCTTGTCATTAATCGCATAAATGTTAGAAGAGGGGATTGGAACCTGCCAAAAGAAGCCAATCATCCAATTAATTTCTGGAGGTCACCACTCTAGTCTTATCACCCAATTAACTCAAATCTCTGATATGTAAAGTCATGTGCATCAGAAACAACTAGCTTATCCGATGAAATTGAAAACTTATCAAAACTAAGCAAATCCAATTTCAACAATATAATGGAAACACAGAAAGGAAGAATCAATCTGATCTATTGATGTACCTTAGAAAGAAACCCATCCAAAGCAAGTTTGTAATTGCTATCATCGTGACCTAGAGGAACCACTCTTTCATCCACCCAAAAAATCCACCATTTCGACCACTCAATTGAGTCTTTGTACGGCGGCTCTACCAATTTCCTGTCCAACAAGAAATCTGAAATTAAAGGGGAATAATAAAAGCCTAAAAATAGTGTTTGATCAATAAAATTTACATTTACCTCATGGTGTCGATAAGAGAACCACCAGAGAGCACAACAGTGAAAGAACCTTTTTGTTTGATGAATTTTTCCGATAGATCAGCAGTGTATTTCGCGAGTGCCTTTGATACATCTTCTTCGGAGTCGAATTTTAGCACCGTCTTCTTCCCTTTCTGGGTTGCCATTTTAGCCTAAATCTGAAGCTATTTCTTGAGAGTTGAGTGTGTTTTGCACTTATAAGGAGCATACCTTATAATTTGTACATGAAAAACAGTACAAGCTGCGAAAAACATATTTCCTTATTAGAGCTTGTTTGGATGGTTGTTAGTATTGTATTTTAAATTTAAATACTGTTTTAATTGCTAATTAAAATTTATTACTATATGATATTATAATAATGGAAAATCTCATTTTTTGTAATAGTCAATTTGTTCTGATCACATTGTAAATTTGTAATGTTACATTTATTTTTATCATTTTATTTGTTACTTATTATTTAACAATTATATTTATTATTTATCTTTATCATTTTTAATTGTAACTTTATTTAGTACTTTTCTTATAGATTTATTATTTAAGTTATTAATGTGTAAAATTATGTTTCCACAAAAACGATATAATCTATTTTAAACATTATATTCATTAAAATAATGTAGTATGATACAATTTGAATTTGAAATCACATCGATTTGAAGTTGAAATTTTGTTTCTATATGTAATTTGGATTTCTTAAATTAAATTTTCCTCATATACATGCAAATCCACAAGGTGTAAAAACTATCAAAATTTCTCCAATTCTTTCACAATATTATCAAATGAGAAAATCATAGTTTATAAAATAACTTAAGTCAGTGCATTGGTAAATCACATATGTTCATGTTCTTTTTATAAATAAATATATGCGATTATAAACTTTCAAAGACACAAATTCATAAAGACCTTCTAGTCAACAATAGTACTAACTAGTTATTCTTTAATATAGTCCATGGTATAACCAATCTTTCCATGTCGAATATGAATCTTTTTTCTTTTAGACAAAAAAAAAACTAAAATAACTTGAGATCATGTTTTTATGAAAAACTTGATATTTGATATCATAATTCCAAGTCACATGTCAAAATCTAATTTTAAAACCATAATTTCACATCACATATCCAAACATGAGCTAAAAAGGGGTGAAATATAATGAAAATAGAGATTTCTAAGTAAGCTAGCGTTTGATGCTAAGTTTTCAAATCATATTTGGGTGAAGTTTTTGGTGAAGTTTCACCACGTGTTTAGCCCCAAATTTAAAAAATATTTGACTATTTCAAAAAATATAATTTATACCTATAAGTTTTAAAAATGATTAAAAATACCCATAAATTTATATTATCATTTTATAATGAATATGTTCTGTTAAAAATAACCTTATAATATAATTGATAACAATCAACAATAACACAATAACAATATAAGCAAGACAATACAATAATTACATACTCAAACTTGTCATTGATTCAGTTATAATTATAACCCATTAAACACAAATTATTATTTTTCTCAATTTTATCATTCAAATTAGAACTCAATTTTTTTCGGAGGAGATAATAACAAATATTAGTTGAAATAAATAAATAATGAGTATTTTTTATAAAATATAAAAGTTTGGAGTGATTTTTGAATTTTTTAAAGTTTCCAAATACTAGAACTTGACCCAAATATAACTAATTTTTTTAATATTTGGAATATATATTATCAAATTATATGATCAAATACTACTTCAAAAATATTTTGGGACCAAACGGGTTCTAAGTATCGTAATGTTTCGTGAGCCCACATCACTATAGTCTATAAGCCCTCCCCTGTAACATAACTGATAACACGAACAAAGCCCACCCTCGCCTCGCTCTGGCTTGACACTCCATTGAAGAAGATGCAGATCTTCGTGAAAACCCTAACAGGGAAGACTATAACCCTTGAGGTTGAATCCAGCGATACAATCGACAATGTAAAGGCTAAGATTCAGGATAAGGAAGGTACTCAATTGTTAAATCCTAAATCGTTTTTTTTCTTTTTTTTCATTTCTTTACTGTGAAACATAAAATTGGTGGGTACTTTCTAGGCATCCCTCCGGACCAGCAGCGTTTGATATTTGCTGGTAAGCAGCTTGAAGATGGACGTACGCTAGCAGATTATAATATCCAAAAAGGTCTGTGTGTAATGAAATTGGATAATTTACATTGGTTTATTTGCTAGTTTGTTTTGGTTGATATTTTCTTCAAACAGAGTCCACTCTGCACCTTGTTCTGAGGCTTCGCGGTGGGATTATTGAACCTTCTCTTATGGCTTTGGCCCGGAAATACAACCAGGAAAAGATGATTTGCCGCAAGTAAGTTCAATATTCACACTTGTAGTATTGGAATGAAGTGTACATGTGAATGGATTATAGAATATTTATGTAGTCGATTCCAATTAATCCTGATTTGAGATTGTAAAGTTGAAGCTATTGGTATTTTGCAAAGTTTTGATAGTTCTGGTAGGTTCTATCTGTTGTTCCCCTAGGTCCTGAACATGGATGCATAATGCATTGCTAGTATGTCAGAAGAGTAAGCGGGGAGAATGACTGTGTAGTGAAATGCCATTTTTTTTTCTGTGAGGTCAAGCTTGTAGATGGCTATTCCTGTTCTTGTTCTCACTTGTAATGCACGGTGATTATCTTTCGCCTCTGTATTCTGCATTGGCACAAGAGTAATTTATGTCATGGTGATGACATGGAAAAGTAACCTGGAAGGCTGTCCTGGTGGTCATTCTTAGATATATTTCAGGCGAAAATTAATGTCTATTAGCTGCTGCTATCGATTTGTATGTATGGGAGCATTGTACTTAGCTATGGAATTATGATCCTTTACCAACATATGCGCATGTTAGCCAAAGAAAAAACTACAAAGTTACACTTTGAGGACATGGGAGGGACAGAAACCTGCTAAATATTTACCTTCCCCTTAAACTATTAACGGTGTATAGGTTTGCCAGTATAGCTCTTTTATATTGTCCTCTTTTTGAGCTACTTTTGTACCATTTGGTAGACATGATATGGAAGCTATCCTGTGCAAGGTAGTGGCTAGGATATGGTATGCATGACATTTTTCTATTTGCTCAAGTGACTGTTGAACAGATCAGTTTTTACCGTCCTTATCTCCAGAGGGGTTGCATGATCATTGCACAACTAATAAACTTTTGGTGCTAAAATGAAGTCAATTGATATCGTGTTCTATTGGTTTAAGTTGCATGACTGATGAGTTATGGTCTTTTTATTCTTTCTGATTGGGTGTATTTATGCATTTTCTTTTTTGCTGCAGGTGCTATGCGCGTTTGCACCCTCGTGCTGTCAATTGCAGGAAAAAGAAGTGTGGCCATAGCAACCAGGTATCTTCTTGGTCAATTTTGTGAACTGTTGTGCATTACTAGACTCCATACTAAATGATTCTTCTGTTTCCTACTTTTATTTCAGTTGAGGCCAAAGAAGAAGATCAAGTAAACAGGTGTTTGCATTTTTGCAGTCAAGACACTCTATGTTTGCATTTTTGCAGTCAAGACACTCTATCATTTGGCACTCTTTTGTATTTTATTTGCTTGTTTAACTTCGTTCCGTCCTTCGATGTTTGTTTCACTATATAACATAAGTTCTAAAATGTTAGTACTTCCATTTGCTCTACTCAGCTGAGTTTTGTCAAGTGCACAACAAATTAGGATCAAGCCCTATGCTTTAAAGTTCGTCATTAGCGGCTGCAATATGCATGAAACTACCCGTTAAGGGAAAACATTAACACACTTTTACATGCTAACCTACTAAAAGTTTTTCTATTCACATAACTCGAAATTAAGACCTGACTTTTGATTATGGCACATCCATTTTATTTTATTGTGATTACACATAGAATCCCTATATACACTGATTTCTTTCTTGTGAACTAAATTACAAGCTATATATATCCATTATCAAAAGAAAGAAACATCACTGTGACATTTTGGGAGAAAGGCTAGTGTATCTCTTTCTCATGTTATGCTACTAGTTTTCCTTGCAAATCATTTTGGCAAGCTCCTTCCAGATTCTCGGCACAATGGGAGAAAGATCAACTGGGAATGAAGTCCCTCCTATTCTCTGCACACAACCTTGGCTCCATCAATGTGAGTAAGAAAACATAAACTTTTTTGTTGATCGAAGTTTGATCACCTGTTTACTCCTTTGAAAGTATTGATGTATATGTTGAGTTCAAAATTCCCACCACTTAGAATTTTCACATGACAGGTCGAAGGAATCACCTGGGCCTACAGCATACCAGTGCTCAGGTGATCCTAAGGAACTGTCTCCTAATTCCTCCATGTTCCAAAACTCTTCTTCTTCCTTCCACCTCAAGTGTTCAAATAGTGTTCCTTCTATGTCACTATCTGCTCCCTTAATCCTCTCGTGGTCTAAACTCGTATTTATGCAACCTGGGATATTGTCCTTCACATCTACTTCTGCTTCTATATTTTCTGAGCTTGTATAGATTTCACTGTCTATTGAATCTTGGCTTCTGCTGCAACCAGCATGGTTGTTTTCCATCTGATCACTTAGTTCCTGTAACTGTTCCAAAACAAAATACATCATTTATATATAGCTAACTCCAACTTGTTTGGATCGAACAATATTGAGAAAGTTAATAAGATACCTGCTTGAGCAAAGATTCCTTTTCTTTCTTCAACGATTCAAACTTAATAGCTAAATTGTCGAATTCATCTTTGAGTCGTCTATATTCATGCTCTAGTTGCTTTGTTTTCCATCTTGCCCTTCTGTTCTGGAACCAAATCGCAACTTGCCGTGGTTGCAGCCCGAGATCTCTGGCCAGTTCAAGCTTCTTGCTAGGTTCAAGCGTTGTCTTTTGTTTAAACATGGACTCAAGTACCTTCACTTGTTCATCACTAAACCTTTTACCATCTTCATGACTCTTCTTCTTTGAACACTCAACTGGACTACCATCTTCTGCTACTTCCATAACTTTATTGATGGGGGATAAGAAATAAGAGTTTTATTAATTTATTTGAAACTTGTCTAAAGAATTGGGCTTCTTTTATTAATATAGATACTTCACTATATAGTAAGGCAAGCATGCAAGAAATATCTAGTTTGGTTACTCTCAGGTGATTGAGACTTGTGGTTTGTTGTTTAATTTAAGCCAATCGTTTAAGCTATCGTGTATCTTTTTCTAGTTCGATCACTTTTTTGGACATCTCTATCTATGGACCTCTTTTTATCTTTTTAGTTTGGGGCTACATTCCATCTCTAATAAATGTTGCTACATTTTGGTGTGGATAAGACAGGTCAAAGATAACTGTGTCATTCTTATTGATAAAAGGAGAAATTTATTCTTCTAACTAATCTCTCTTAGTTTTTAAATCAATAATTTCATTCTTTATGTCCAATCGTGAGAGATGTGATTATGTTACTTTGTATTGATCGTATATGCATAACTATATGTTCCAATTTTACGTGGAACACTTTTTTTTTTAAATTCCTTTTAATCCTTGATGAAATATTAGAAATATATTTAAATTCGGCGTGAATTATAAGTTTTATCTCTAAATTATTGATATCCTTAAAAATGTCCCTTTATTTGACTAATTGAACTTAAATACACCATCGATCTTGTAATATGAGTGAAATATACTCTTTAATTCTCGTCAAGTTTAAGGGTATTTTTGAACACTTCTCTCGACTTTTTGTTAAGAGTTCAATGTTCCTACAAGAGTTTGAGACCACTTGCTATGTGTCATGTGACAAATTGGGTGTGAATCTAAAGTTAGTTAATCAAAGAGGGTTGTTTTTAAGGCTATCGATAATTCAGAACGAAATTATTAACTTGCAATAAATTCAAAAATATTTTCAATACTTCTCTTAATAATTTATAATCACATGAATATTTAAGATTCATTTTAAATTACAAATTTTAAAAATTATTTTCTTTCCTTAAATTTTGTATTTAATCATATGATATCACATATAAATTGATAAATTGAAACGAAGGATTAGTTTCTTTTCCACATTGGGAGAGTACTGTTAGGTGATTTTAAGAGTTAGATGTGGTGTCAGTAAGCTGGTGGATATGGCCGCCTAATAACGACAAAATAGAGCTAATACTTTGATATCATTAATAATCATGAGGAACACCCAAAATATGTACAACTTGCGGCCATTAGAGCACTTATCTTTGACTCAACACTCCTTTTCTTTTTTTAAAAAAAACCACGTTAGCATATAATGATATTTTTATTTACCTAAAGTACGAATAAGGTCTGTGCATTGATTATCTTCTTTAGTTAAAACTTGAATTTTGTATATTCAAATTTTAAGCTCTTTAAAGTTACTACGTTCACTCAATAAATTTCTTAAGATAAATATAAAATTTAGATTAAAGCTACTGAGTTCGAAAAAATGCATAGGTTGTACAGTGGCTCGATCCCTACTCGAGTACTCGCAAGATTACAATGAGCTTATTATTGATATTTAGCATATATTGGTAGCTTTAATTAAATATTTTATATTATATTTTAAAAAAATATTTAATATATATAAATAATTTATATAAAATCTAAGTTTATATTTTTTAAAATTCTTTTGTGTCAATGTCTTATCTCAAATATCGTCATTAAGGTTTAGTCACTTGACTTGTGATGGAATAGTTTATTTGATGTAATGACTCTATAGGTTCCGTCCTTGTCAAATGTTTCAAGTGTCTATTACACTCTAGACAGATGTCATATGCTTTAAGGTACCTCTCTCTCTCTCTCCTTTTTTTTTTTTCAAATTTAATTTTATTATTGTCTTAAAGTAGCTATCGAAGTCATCGAAAGGAATCTTGAAATTGTGAAAATTCACAAGGTGCATCTGATGAAATTAATCACTGAAATTATTTTGGAACATTTAATTTAGTTATGATTTGTATCATCTAATGTATCACGCTCTAAAACTTAAAAGAATTTTGATAATAGATAAGAAGATGGAAGTGATGTGAATTTAATTGATTTGATTTTATTCTGTTTTATTTTCTTACTCGGTTTGTTTTTTCAATCACTTCCTTTTGTGTACAATAAAAAAAGAATATAACCACCATATTTGTTGGTGTTCCAGGACGATTACGACCTTATATAAGCGAGTTCTAATTTATAATTTAAACTGATCATAAATTTTTAGGATTAGATTTATCACTCTCGAAGGATGTTGTAAACATGTGACACCAAAAGGCATGTGAGATGGGTGGACGAGGCGAATTCAAAATTTTGAGTAAATGGATGAAATATCCATATTATCACTAAGTTCCGTGTCGTCAATGGAGTGGTTAGCATGTAACATGAGCCAAATTTGTGATAAGAAGTACTAGGAAGACACGGACATTTTCCACCTTGATGATAAGTTGTCAAAAAGGGTCAAGTATCAATTATGATATTTTATCGCTTTCTATTCTAAGGTCTTTGCATTTTTATTCTAAGCTTGTAGGAGTCTAGGAAACTATATGCCCATTTTACCAATTTTGTTGGTGCATTACAACTAAAATATTTTTTCCCTTTCCATATTATCAACGAGTACCAACTTTGTGAAAATGCATAATGCATGAATATGTCTTTTGATTTGACTTTAATTGATATTTATGCCTTCTAACTTTGAATATATATATATACTACCTTTTAAAAGAATGAACTACTTAACTTAAATGTTAAATTATTATAATACCCCCAACTTAAAACATCAAATATAGTATATCTTCTATATTTTATATTGTATTATATTTATTTATGTGTATTATATTATATTATATTATATTAAATGCAAACACCTTTCCACAATGAAGGGTTGTGACATTTTCGAAGAGTTATAAACTTTTCGATGAGTCGTGACTTTTTCGAAGGGTTGTGACTTTTCTATAGGGTTGCGACTTTTCCAAAGAGTTCTGACTTTTCCGATGAGTTGTGACCTTTCTGAAGAGTTGTGACTTTTCTAAAGGATTGTGACTTCTTTTTTATGAGGCACAATAAGTAGTTTTTCGTACACTAGCCTTTGTAGGTTATAAAAAAGAGGGGCTTCCTCAAATTCTTATTTTAAAAAAATATTCATTATTCTTCTTCTTCTTAAAACACCCAATTTAGTATATCTTCTATATTTTTATGATAAGAAACCATATGCACATACTAATACTACACAATTTTAACTATAAATGGCGGGGTTTTGCTCACATTTTTAAACTATGTTTTTTTTTTTATGTTTTCTATTCTTCTCTTCTTAAAAACTCAACTTTGATTTACAGATGTTGACAATCTCAAAGTTCATTGAAATTAGAATATTCCCTTAAGTTAATCTAATACTCCAACTAAAAACATCCAATTTAGTATATCTTCTGTATTTTATATCAATACTTATTTATATTGTATTATATTAAAAAATAAGAACACCAACAATACAATAATAACAAAGTAGTGACTATGGGGAAGGTAAGAGAGACTATATCTAAGAGGTGTAACTAAGAGATTTTAAGAGTGACTAATTTTTTATTAAATAATATTCACATTATTTTTAAAAATAGTGTGGTACATGGTTTGATATTCACGTGCAACACACGTGCGTCAAAACTAGTATATATATATATACACACAGAGGCGAATCTAGGATTTCAAGAAGACGGGTGCACCATTGTCAGGGACTGCTTTGCCCCTTTTAAAAAAAGGCAACTACTTTAGACTTCCAAATTTGAAGGACCTCAATTATCTTAGCAATAATAGATATAACTTTTTCATAAGAAAAATATTAAATATCATTTGCAAAAAAAAATATTATTAAGAGAAAAAGTTATTAGAAGAAATTTGATATACCTAGAGTACTACCACTACAAGAAAAGTGTAAATTACATGGAGATTTTTCTGGGGATTAGTATGAAAATTTGCATGAAAATAAGTTTCCTACGGATTTTCATACTAATCCCAGGAAAATCCCCATGTAATTCACACTTTTCTTGTAGTGTACGTCACAAGAAAGATTAAATGCATTGTTATATGAATTATTGATTGAAAAATAATTATTAAAAGAATCCAATTATAAAAAAATATACAATTTTGCATCTCAAGAAATTTAAAAAGTAGACTTTATAAAAAAGAAGGGAAAAAGGACAAATGTATCCTCGAATTATCGTAAATGGTATGCATATACCTTCCGTCATATTTTTAGGACATTGGTGCCCCTACCGTAAAAAAACTAAAGCATATATGCCCTTCACTCTAACGGAAGACTAAATAGGGACATGTGGCACAATCTTATCCGTCGATCTGATATATTAAATATCGGATTGACGGATAAAATTATGACATGTGTTTATCCGTTAGTATAAAGGGTATATATGCTCTAGTTTTTTTACGGCAGCGACACCAATGTCCCAAAAGTATGACGAAGGGTATTTGCATACCATTTACGATAGTTCTGGGGTATATATATCCCTTTACCCTAAAAAGAATATTAATTTTTCTTAAAAGTGTAAGGCTTTAGTTTGATTTTGTCTCAAACCACTTGTGTGTTTGAGTCGCCATTGATCATTGCACGTAAGATAAGATCTAAAATATTATAATTGATTTTGCTAGTTTGCTTACTAAGAATGGTGATTTCAGTTGTAAAAACGAAAAAAAAGGAAGAAATGAGTTTTTTCAGCTGGAAAGTTTGAGCGCTACTTCATGTTTTTTGTTAAATAAAATGATGGAACCTACTTTTAGATTATTATTATTATTTTTTCTTTTTTTGTAAAAATAAGAATAGAAGTAAAAAACAATGCTGCATTTTAAAAAAAAGGCCTATTACAAGAAAGGAATGTAGTAATTGGGAATCGATCTCTCAACCTCACAGTGAAAAACAAACACTCAAACTAGTGAGCCATCCAATTATTTGTGATCATGGGTTCATTCAGTTGCTATTTGATATATTTTACAAATTATACAAGTAGTTATATCGAATTTTGTTGGATGACCACTGGTTCAGGTGACCCATTTTTTTAACTTAAATTCGCCCCTGCACATACATACATACATACCTACATACATACATACATACACACATAAATATAGGATGAAGGGTATATGTCTACTTGTTCAACTATATACAAGTTTGAGTGCCTACTTATACACACAAAAAATTGAAGGATATAACTATAACTTGAAACCAAGTTAAATGACATATTTATCTATTATGCCTAGTGAAAATGATTTTGCAATTTGTCCTTTATATATGACCATGATTATTCCTTTTTTTAAAATAATTAAATAAATAAAATTGACAGGAAGTGACAATGAGAGTGAGAGGGATGGCTCTACGTACTTATGCAATATGGTTTTCTTTTTACGTCGAAAAGATTTCATAGTCTAGGGTATTTGTGCCTTATCGCCTTATCCATATAGTCT